AAGTTGAGTTCCTCTCACAAGGAACTGACACATCATCACCCCATATTTTGACACATCAGATTTGATAAGAAAAGTTCCAAATTGGTTCACACGATTAGTCAAAGCAGAAAACAATTCTCTTCAATAAATCTTCTCCATCTTCCAAACAGTCTTCTCGCCTTCTCATCTCAGATCTCTTCATCTTCACCTATGGTTGTCAACTCACTGTTTATCCTCTCTTCTTCTTTCTTCACTCCGTCGATTATCTTTTTTATCATGTACCTCGGGTCTTTGAATCTTGTACTCTCCACCTTCACTGTTTTATTCTTTGTTCACATATATCATATATTTTTATTAAAAACATTTTCATAGATCATATGTTACATGGAGTTTTCTGAAGCATATGATATTGATCAAGATAAGGATTCCACTATGAGTATTTCATTCCTCCTTGTCTCTCCATACTCTTTTAATTATATTGGTGATACATTGATTGTAAGATGGTCTATACATTTTGTTTTAAATTTTTCATTCTCACGGTGTCTCGCATGCTGTGCTTCTGTGTTAAACTGTTAAACATTTACAATCAATGGAATAATATATCTACAACTATTTTTTAGACAAAAACTCGAAGGAAGCATGTATGGAATGATACTTTATACAACTGAGAAGAAGTTGGCTCTTCTTGACCTCGCCTCATAACAGAAAATTGCATATTGTGCACGTCATATTGTAGAGCTTTGCGATACCCGTCACAAAATAAGATTTTTTTTTTTTTTAACTTTAAAGAATGTTGTATATATATTTGACCAGATATTGTAAAAAAACAACATGACTACATAGGCCATATCTATTTAAATGTTTTGAGATATTTAAGCGTAAAGGCATTAACAGAACACACAAATCATCTTAAGCAAATTTTAAATTAGAACATGAGGATTATGTTACAGTTATTATGAAAGTGTTCAAGCTATCATATAAATTATGTGTTTTTTTATCTCTGTCAAATTGGTCTTTTTTGTTTTGCATTTAAGTGGGTATTAAATCTCTAAGTTGTTTTAGTTTGAATATAAAAGCATGACATAAACGAGAAACCGTGTGCGGTTGAGAGAGATAAGATTTAAGAATATGTAATGAGAGAATTCAGAGCCATGAAAAGATGAAGGTTTGTTCAAAATTTACGAATTTTTTTGTGTTTATGCATTCATATTACTTCTTGAACATCTCTTAAAGTTCGGTTAATTGTCTAAGAATAGCACTATAAGTTGGAGATAGTGGCTGAATCAATGCCCACAAGTACACGTAAATCTTGCTTTCCTAATTGTTTAACTCTGCTTTGGAAGCCATAAACTATCTGAGAAGTAAGGGAAAAATATAGGGGGTGAGAAATGAGGTAAAATAGGATTGCGAGATTGGATCCCAAGCGCACTTCCATCAGTTGCTTTTTAGTGGGTTTTTAAGAGTAATAAAATAGAAAACAATACAAAAGTG